CTTTTTCTTTTTGTTTTCTTTCTTTCTTTCTTTTTTTTTTTTTTTTTTTGAGACAAGGTTTCTCTGTGTAGCCCTGGCTGTCCTGGAACTAGCTCTGTGGACCAGGCTGGCCTCAAACTCAGAAATCCACCTGCCTCTGCTTCCTGAGTGCTGGGATTAAAGGTGTGCACCACCACTGCCCAGCTCAAATATTTCTTTTATATCCAGTAATTTGTTCATGCTTTTGGCTTTACCAGAAGACCAGAGTTTGTTTCCCAGAACCCAAATCGGGCACAGAGGCCTAGAACTACAGCTCCAGAGCAGCTGGTATTATCTTCTGGTTTCTGTGGCCACACACACAACATACACAACACCACACACACAATACACAACACACAGCACACACGCACAACATATACGCCACACACACAGCACACGCACTCAGCACACACACCACATACCACACACACAGCATACAGAGCACACACAACACACAGCACACACACATAAAAATATTAATTAAAATTTTTATGTGTAGGGATGTTTTGCCTACATGTATGTGTGTGTACCATGTATATGCCTAGATTGGAAGAGGGCATTGGATCCTCTGGGACTGGAGTTACAGTTATGAGCCATCATGTATGTCCTGGAAATCAAACCTGGGTCCTCTGGAAGAGCAGCCAGTACTTTTAACCATGGAGCCATCCCTCCTACCCCTAAAAATCTTTTAAAAAGAGGAATCTATTTTTATGTACATAATGTCTCACCTGCGTGTATACAAGTTCAACAAGTTTGTGCCTGGTGCCACCAAGGTCAGATGGGAGTGTCAGATCCCCTGGAACTGGGGTTCTAGATGGTTGTGAACACCATGAGGATGCGGGAGTAGAACCCAGGTTCTCTTCAAGAGTCCAAGTACTCTTCACCATTGAGTCTTCTCTCCAGCTCTTAAAAATCTTTCAAAAACAGCAGGGCAGTGGTGGCACATGCCTTTAATCCCAGCACTTGGGAGGCAGAGGCAGAAGGATCTCTGAGTTGGAGGCCAGCCTGGTCTACAGAGTGAGTTCCAGGACAGCCAGGAATGTAACACAGAGAAACACTGTCTGGGAAAAACAAAACAAACACACAAAAAAATTTTTGCTACCTGGGAACTGGGGACCAGGCTCAGTAGAGTGCTTGCCTAACAAGTACAAAGTCCTGCGTTTGAGCCCCAACACTACGTGAACTGGGCATGTGTAGATGTAACCAACCGTCTTATTAAATAAGAAACACAGAGCCGATTCAGAGAAGAAAGTCAAGAGGTCAGAGCTAAGAGCCTCACCCTTACTGCTTCAGCGATCCTCTTCAGCCAAGAGAGCTCTCCTAAAAGGATCTACTTCCTGTGTGTATGTCTTTATATAGTCTAGCTGTTTTGCCTTCTCATTGGTTGTAAACCCAAACACGTGACTGCCTCGTCACTGCCTGTATGTACCGCCCTCCAGGTCCTTAAAGGCATGCGCCACCGCCGCTGCGCACTTGCTATGGCTCTAATAGCTCTGACCCCCAGGCAACTTTATTAACATACAATTAAAATCACATTTCAGTACAAGTAAAATACCACCACAGGCATGTGCATGGCTGTAATCCTGGCACTCCAGAGGTAGAAAGAGAATGATTAGCACTTTGAGGTCCTCCTTGGTGGTATAGGTAGTGCTGGGCTGCCTAGAACATATAAACCCTAACACACACAGAGACACTACTAAAAATAATAAATATTTTATTAAAATCTTGCTAGCTGGGCACAGTGCCACCCATCTATAGTCCCAGCTGTCCAGGAGGCTGAGACAGGAAGATTACTTGAGTCCATGAGTTTGAAACCAGCCTGAGCAACATAGCAAGACTCCCATATTGAAAGCAAGCAAGCAACATCTTGCAGACATCTGCACAAGACAGGTTCAAGGACACCAGTCAGAAATACTGGCAGCCTGAGACCTTCCAAAGTGTCCCTTCCATCTCAGGCAAGCACTGTTGGAACTCAAATGGAATTTGCAAGCTTTCCTGTTAAATGAATCACTCTATTACAAGGCCTCGCTTGCCGCACAGATTTCCCTCAGCGCGTTTTCTGAAGATAACTTATAATTTAGCAAGCAAGCTGAAGGCGCTTGAAATGCTTTTGCATAATAAATCAAAATGTTTGAGCAGGTGGTTATGAACAGAGATGTAGTTTTCTCTGAGCGCTGCGTGAGATGTTTGCCGTTCACTGAATAAGAACAGCAGCTCAGACTGGGGATGTAGCTCAGTGCTAGAGAAGAGAGCTCCATCTCGCTGGGCATGAGGACACATGCTTGTAATCTCAGAATTGAGGAGGCAGAGACAGGAAGATTATGAGTTTGTAAGCTCGAGTTCCATAATGAGAACCTACCCCCAGTATCACACGGTCTTTCTACAATGGGGCTGGGGAGAGGGTGGGAGACGGCATCAACAGTTTTGAAGGATGCTCACTGATCTCATAACATTTAGCAAACAGACCCTACTGGTGTAAAATGATGTGGTCAGAGGGAAACACGGTCCCTCAGGCTTGTCCAGTGGGCACAGGGTGTGTACAGGATTGTCTTAGACTCATGAGGAGCGGGGACTTGAGTGTGTTAGAGCTACAGTATGGATCCTGAATGTTTCTCTAACAGTGAGACTAGTTACTGGGTAACTCGACCCAACCTTGAGGTCCACATGCAAACACTCTTGGCTGCAGACCAATTTCAAGGGTTGTGGGGAGCCGTAGACATAGGGGAAGGTTGCTGAAGAGTTCACTGGGAGGTGTATATGGGCTTCCTTTTTTCAAAAGAACATACAATACAGTGAACATGGATCAAAGAACTTAAGACAAAGCAATTTTCCCCCAGTAGTGGGATTGAACCCAGGACCTTGTGCATGTTAGGCAAGCACTCTACCACAGAGCCACATCCACGGCCTTGTTTATGATTAGGTCTTCCTATGTAGCCTGCCTAATGCTAAGGTTACAGGTGTGCGTCACAATGCCCAGATAACGTTTAACTTTGAACTACTTTTAGACTTTGAGGAAAGTTGTGAGCATGCTTATAAATAGGAAAATGGTCCCACGGTGATTTATCCTTGCCTTCAATCTCAAGTTCAAGGCCAGCTTAGGAAACTCAGCAAGAGTCTGTCTTAAAACAAAAGGTAAAAATGAAAGAAAAAAAAAAAAAGCTGGGGGGCTGATGGGATGGTTTGGTGAGTAAAGGCGTCTGCTGCTAGTTCTGACCCCAACTCCAAGCCTGATGTCCTGCCACCGTGAGAACGATAAATGCTTCCCACAGACTCACCAATATGAACACTTGGTCCCCAGCTGGTGATGCTGTTGGGGAGGTTGTGAGACTCCCTGGAGGAGGCACAGCCTTCCTGGAGGAGGTCCATCACTGGGGTGGGTTTTGAGCGTGTATAGACAGCCTTGCCACACTTCCGATTACTCTCTGTGCTTGCTGTGTGGTTGAAGAAACAACTTTTCAGCCTTCTGCTCCAACCCCTGCACCCTGCCTGCGGTGTTACTATGGACTCCAACCCCCGGAACTGTAAGCCCCAACAAGCTTCCTTAAGCTCCTTCTCGTTATCATGGCCAAAGCATGAATACAGTATGCTTTATGACTATGTAGCCCAGGCTGGCTTCTAACTTGCCATCCTCTGCCTCTGTCTCCCAAGTGCTGGCATTACAGGTGTGTGCCACCATGCTCAGTCTCAATAAATAGAGTTTTAGGAGATGAGTTTTAAGTAGCTTTAATATGGTAGAATTTCATTTATGTTTCTATTCATTTTTCTAGCTTACAATGTTTTGGGTGATGGAATTAAATAATTTTCTGTTGCGTCAAGGGTTCATGCCTTATATACCTTTCTCTGCCCAGACATCACTTCCTGGGATTAAAGGTGTGTGCCACTACTGCCTAGCTCTGTTTTCAGTGTGCCCTTGAACTCACAGAGATCCAGACGGATCTCTGCCTCCCGAGTGATAGGATTAAGGGTGTGTGCCACCACTGCCTGACCTCTATATCTAATCTAGTGGCTGGCTCTGTCCTCTGATCCTCTGGCAAGTTTATTAGGGTACACAATATATCACCACACTGGGGTTAAAGGCATGTGCCACCAGCACCCTTCAAGAAGCTTAGTAAAACATAGGTTTCTGGCCAGGCAGTGGGTGGCACACATCTTTAATCCTAGCACTGGGGAGACAGAGGCAGGAAAAACTGAGTTCGAGGCCAGCCTGGTCTACAGAATGAGATCCAGTACAGCCAGGACAACACAGAGAGACCCCGTCTCACACACACACCAAAAACCCTATAGATTTCTATTGTTCCATTGCAGATCTGAAAATCAAAACCATTGGGGGAGGGGCTGAAGAGTGGCCTCAGCAGTTATGCTTGCTCACTGCTCTTACAGAGGACCCAGATTCAGTGCTTAGTATCCACATGAAGTGTCTCACAATTGTTTGTAACTTAAAGAAAGGAGCGCTTATTTTGGCTGATGTTTGGAAAGGAAAGGCATGATGCAGCTCATGGCAGTGGGAGCATGTAATGGTTTGTTTGCTCATGTCTTGATGGATCAGGAAACAGTTCTGGCTGGAAGGTTGAAAGGGTGTGTGTGTGTGTGTGTGTGTGTGTGTGTGTGTGTAAGAGAGAAAGAGTTATATCTCTCAAGGTCTATCTGCCCTTAAATATTTCCTCCAGCTACACTCCCCCTCTAAAGGTTCCACAGTCTCCCCAAAATGACATTATCAGGCTGGGTGGTAGTGGCTCACACCTTTAATCCCAGCACTCGAGAGGCAGAAGCAGGGGGATCTCTGTGAGTTCCAGGCCAGCCTGGTCTACAGAGTGAGTTCTAGGACAGCCAGGACCGTTTCACAGAGAAACACTGTCTTGAAAAACCAAGGGGGTGGGGGGAAGGCACCATCAGTGAAAAGTCAGTGTTCAAGCAAGTGAGCTTGTGGGACATTTCACGTCCAAACCATAGCATAATGTAATGTGTTCATGCATTGTTCTCAGATGGGCTGGAGAGACAGGGATGGTATAGAGGACTGAACCTTCACGATGGATTTTGGGAGCTGTAGATCTGCTTCTGCATTTCCTGGCCATAGAGAGTTGTAAGTAAAAGAATTTCCTTGGCATTAATTTTTTTTTTCATTTGTAAGTAAAAGAATTTCCTTGGCATTAAATCATAGTTCTGGGGGCTTAGGAGTTAAGAGAACTTCTTGCAGAAGACTGAATTCAGTTTCCAGCACCCACATCTGGCAGCTCACAATGAGATGTAACTCCATCCCTAGGGGATCCAATGCCCTTTCTGCCCTCTGTGGGCACTGCACTCATGTGGCAAACACACACACACACACACACACACACACACACACACACACACACACACACACACACTGAATCTTAAATCATAGTTCTGACTGTAGTCTGCTATATGGGACAAGATTTCACTTAGAAATTATTCATCTCCTTGAAAGAGACCAGATTATTCACGCAGCGGTTTGTTGTTCTGTACAAGAATAATTGTAGTGCAAGCAGCTAGACAGCTGTACATTTGAGCGCAGAGGCAGTGGGGAGTGCGGTGTAATTACGTTCTGTGTGGAATGTTTATCACTTCTCTCTTCTCGTGGCCATGATAGTGTCTCTGTTGAGTATATATAATGTACAGATGCATAAGAACAGGCTTTATCAGTGTGCTGAGAGCAGCAGGTCCTCAGAGTGACTAAGTTCCTCTGGATTCCTAGTTGAAAGAAGACAATCATAGATTTCTTTGATTATTTTTAATACTTATTTATTTAAAAAATTTGAAATTACACTTAAAAATTATGTGTGTGTGTGAGTGTGTATGCCACAGCACTCACCTGGAGGTCAGAGGATGACGTGTGGGAGTCAGTTCTTTTCTTCCATCGTGGGACTCCTAGGGGATCAAACTTAGGTCACTGGGCTTAGTGGCCTTTACCCAAGAGCTATCTCCCTGGTCCTATATATTTTAAGGTTTATTTTTATTAATGTGTGTGTGTCCACATATGTGTATGTGGGTACCCAAGAGGCCACAACAAGACATGAATCTTCTAAAGTTGGGGTTACAGTGTGGTTGTGAGATGTTCAACATGGGTGCTAGGTACTAAAATTCGGGTCCTCTGCAAGAGCAGCAAATATTCTTAATCATTGAGCCATCTCTTCAGCCCTTCTTCCCTTCCTTCCTTCCTTCCTTCCTTCCTTCCTTCCTTCCTTCCTTTTTTTTTTCTTGAGACAGAGTTTCACTGTGTGACCCAGCCTGGCTTTGAACTCACAGTAATCCTCTTCCCTCAGACTCCTGAGTACTGGAATTACAAGTGTATGCTGCCACACTCAGCCAGTGGTTTCTCTTAGACGATTCCTCGACCTTTGCTGAATCTCACAGGCCTCTCATTCTCACTCGCAGTCACCAGAGCTCCACCCTGGAGCACACGGACCTCCGTCCTGTGTGCATTGCACTTTCCTCCTACTGCTTTGGATGCGCTTGTTCTAAGGCAAACCCCTGTGTTTTGCACATCTCATCCCCTTTTCTTTTCCTTTCTTAAAGCACGTTGCTCTGGTCTTTTCTTTTTTAAGTAGCACCAAGGTCTCCCTGTCTACTGGCTCATCCCATGTGTATATTTGCTAGAATATCATCATTTTGGGATTTGAAAAAGCTCTATCCCATGTTCTTCTCCAGCGACAGCTTCATTTTACTTTTCCACTCTCTGAGAAAGCTGGCATGCTCTTATTTTGGAGACAGTCTCACATCATAGCCCAGGTTGGCCTTGAACTTGCAATGTTCCTGCCTCAGCCTCCGGAGGGCTGGGATTACAGCCATGCTCTTTCATGTCTAGCTGCCATAGTCTTTCTGAATTTAATGTAGTTAGGTTTTTAACCCCTGGTAGTCATTTCTCAGGCTTTATCTTTCTTAGCCAGCCTACATTCTTTTCTTCTTCAGGCTTCAAACAAAACCTCAGCTTTGGGCTAACACCCAAAGGTACGGCAGTGTTTGACTCGCCTGCCTCCTCACTGTTTGAGCCTTCCGGCTCTCTTTGCTGACATTCTTTATCTCCCTGGGCCAAAACATTAGAAGACTTGGGACACAGCCCTTGAGCCCTCTCTACAGCCCTGTTTGTAGTGTGATGGTCAGTCTCAGTGATCAACTTGACTGAGTTGAGACATGCCTAAGAAATTAGTGGAGTACACTTCTGGGGGTGTCTCTCAGGGCATTTACAGAGGCAGTTAACTAAGAAGAGAGAATATGCCCCGGATCCCTGAATGTGGACAGCACCATCTCATAGGCTGAGGGCCTGGATGGAAGAGGAGGGGAAGAAGGAATCTCGCTAGCACAGGCTTGCTCTCTCTTTGCTTGGCCACCATGAGGTGAGTAACTTTTGTTCCCCCCCAAGACAGGGTTTCGCTGTGTAGCTTTGGAACCTGTCCTGGAACTTGCTCTGTAGCCCAGGCTGGCCTCGAACTCACAGAGATCGGCCTGCCTCTGCCTCCCTAGTTCTGGGATTAAAGGTGTGCACCACCACTGCCTGGTGAGGTGAGTAACTTTTATCTGGGCAAATGTCCTGGGTTGTCTAAGAAAGCAGGCTGAGCAAGCCATTGAGAGCAAGCCAGTAAGCAGTGTTCCTCATGGTCTCTGCTTCAGTCCCTGCCTCCAGGTTCCTGCTTGAGTTCCTACCCTGACTTCCCTCAGTGATGGACCGTGATTGGGATGTGCAAGCCAAATGAAATCTTTCCTGCCCAAGTTGGTTGTGGGCAATGTTCTGTCTCAGTAACAGAACCAAACTAGGACAGTCACGATGGAGAGAAAGGCTGAAGAGTCTTAAAAGGCTGTAGATGCAGAGACCGGCCAGGCCTGAAGCAGCCAGGCTCCTCCCCCAGAGATGGCTCAGAGCGTTGCTTCTCAAAGGACCAGAGGCTGGCTCCCAGCACCCATGTTGGGTGGCTCACAGCCGCCTGTAACTCTGGTTCCAGGGGATCTGGCCTTTGTGGTACACACACACACACACACACACACACACACACACACACACACACACACACACACACAAATAATAAAATAAATCTTTTAAACAGTAACAAGAAAGAACGGAAATGTTTAAAAATACACAGAACCGGGGGTTGGGGATTTAGCTCAGTGGTAGAGCACTTGCCTAGCAAGCGCAAGGCCCTGGGTTCGATCCTCAGCTCCAGAAAAAAAAAAATACATGGAACTTATGACGGCAGGACTGTGTCAGAAGTAACTGGGAAGAGCTGTGGTAACCTGGATGGGTGATTGTGGACGGGGCAAATAACCGGGCAGGGTGAAGGGATTTGTACGCAGGGCCTCTGGGCCATGGGCGGCATTAACAGGACCGCTGGAAGCCTGGTGTTGCCTTCCTCTGTTCAGAGCAGGGGAAATCACCCCACTTTAAAGACCCACGTGGTTTTCCCATTTCCTTCCTTCCTTGATTTCACCCCGTCTTCCTCCTCCTTCCTGGTGTTCTCCTACACCGTTAACCCCTGTGTCTGCAATCTTTGTTTCTCTCCCCACTAACCTCTGACATAAAGTATTAATTTTTGGGATTTCCCCCCCCCTTTCTTTGAAGTGCTCCTTCTGGCTACAAAAACTTCCAATTAAGTTTTTTAAATAAAAGATAGAAGTTAAAAGCAACCGCTGCCTCAGGTTAGAGGGATGAAAACTTGTAGTTGCTTGGAGCTGTACTTCAAAAAGAGAAAACTCAATTTTAAATGTGTGGAGGTTTAGTTGTGAAATACATTGTGTTTCAGAAAATGAATCTGTGGATACTGTTGGCCTCAGAAGAGGAAGACTGCTAGTCATTTGTGCTGCTATATTTTCCTGTAAGATATCCTTTCCCCAGCTAATGTTTTAAAAAACATTTAGTTTTTATTTATCATGTTTTGCCTGCATTTATGTCTGTGTACCACATGATTACAGTGGATTCCCTGGGACTGGAGTTACAGACAGTTATGAGTTGTCATGTGGTTGCTGGGAATCGAACCCAGGTCCTCTAGAAGAACAGCAGTCAATGCTCTTAACTGCTGAGCCATCTCTCTAGTCCTTCACACATATATTTTTTTAAAGATTTATTTATTTATTATTGATGTGTATGTGTGTGAGGCTGTATGGGTTTATCTGGACCATGTATGTGTAAGTATTCTTGGAGGTCAGACGACACTGGATTCCTTAGAACTGGAGTTACAGAGGGTTGTGCCCCGACTGATGTGGGTGCTGGGAACCAAACTCAGGTCCTCCGCAAGAGCAGTGAGTGCTCTTACCTGGTGAGCCACCTCCCCAGTACCAAGATTCATCTATTTCTGAGAGATCTTGGAGATCAAACTAGGGTCTTGTACATCCTGGGAAACTGCTCAATTCTTGAGCTATACCCACCTGTGAGACTGTCATTCTTTGCTGTCCCAGGGAGGGTGCTGACGGGCCAGGGAAACATGGGCTGTGAATGGATCCACCACAGACAGAAGGCAGAGGCAGAGTTTATTAGACACACTGCAGTGGGTAGTGAGCAAATGCTAGCAAGAAACTGGCTGTAGTGTGACTTTTAAATTACATGTATTTGTGTGTGTGTGTGCATGTGCGCACACGCACGTGCGTGCACATACGTCAAGGCACCTGTGTGGAAGTTAAAGGACAGTTTGTGGGAGTTTGTTCTTCCTTCTGCCATGTGGGTTTTGGAGATTAAACTCCAGTCTCCAGGATTTACAGCCAACACTCACACCACTGAGCTATCTTGATGGCCCCAAAGGGCTGCTTTTTTTTTTTTTTTTTTTTTTTTTTTGGTTTCTACCAGCAAAGTCAGGCACTGTTTCAATGGCATGGTGTCCTTGAACAATTGCAGTTGGGGCTGATGTGGCTAACAACAGCCTGCCCTTGAGGCAGTGATAGTCTTGTCTTGAGTCAGAATGGCTCGGCAGGGCCGCTTATCCTAAACAGGTGTTTGCATTTTGGGCTCCTTACACTCACCTCTTTCTGAGGAGATAAGGGCCCTGCTTGGAGACAGCACTGACTTTGCTGTGAGCTCAGCCTGCTGGGAGGCAATCACAACCTTGTCCCGAGGCTAAGAGGACTGGCACAGCCTCCATC